CAATCAATAAGAATAAATAATGATGTGTGATAATAACAGTAATAACAACAGACATTTATAGTTGGCTCAGAACAAAACCTGGAATATTCCGTTCAAATTTTGTGGATTACTAGCTCTGATATCAGATTTGGACCTTCTTGTGTTCTTGTCCTCATGGGCTAACACCTAGTTTTTCTAATAAGGCAGTGTAATACACAGACGTAATAACTTGCTCATATGTAATGCTGTGATAACATATTTATTGAAGTGTCTCAACATAATTTTTTACATAGTCATTAAGAATTTCTCAAATACATCTATGAAAAAAATAAGAAGATAAGTTTCATCTTAGACACGTAATGAGAACTGGCGGACTCTTCCTTTCTTTCTTTCCTTTTCTTTCTTTCTTTCTTTGTTTCTTTCTTTTTCTTTCTTTCTTTCTTTCTTTCTTTTTCTTTCTTTCCTTCTTTCTTTCTTTCTTTCTTTCTTTCTTTCTTTTCTTTCTCTTTCTGTATTCTGAATATGATAATTAACAGACTTAGAAATAAATTTCTAATTTAAGCTGAATTTCCTTATGCTCCAAGCCTCTGTTAATACCAAAAAGTTCAGATATCTCATTCTTATGAAAATATTTTAAGAAATAAAGTAAAGTATAAATGCATTTAGACTGAAATGCATCCATATGGATGACAACAACTGTAAAATGAATAGATCTACTTTTGTCAACAATCTTACAATTTCTATTCATGAATAACTTATGCTCCATTTATGCTCAATTCCTGCCTAAGTTCCACTGGAAAGTTATACAACACACCTTTTGCATATAAATTCTGCTAGCAAAAACCCATACATAGTCCAGAGCTGAAAAAAATGATACTTGCAGGTACCCAAATATTCATGAGCAGCCTGTTTCATCTGACAACTGAAAAGCTAAGTCAAGTGTGTGGTGCTCAGACTGGTGACCCTCCGATGCCTTTCACTGGACTGGCTGTACTTTATTAGTATTCAGCATCTATTATAACTTGGAAGAACAATAACGTTAAACTAGAAAAAAGGAAAACATGCTATTCCTTAATTGTGCTATGGCCTTCTTATGGGAATGGTAAATATTAACTACAATCTTTACATCATTAACAGTAATTCTGACTAATTAAAAGCCTTGTTAATGTTTTTTAGCTGTCATAGGAAATAGCTGAAGAAAGGAACAGAAATGAGAAGAGGAAGAAAAGAAAAAAGAAAACCTGCAAACTGCCAAGGAGTGACAAGAACACAGATAGCAGAGAAACACTTATGGCTAGTTGTGCAGAGACAGTGAGGTGAAGGGAAGAAAAAAGTTGCAACAGAGAAATCAACAAACAGAAACAGTCACAGAAAAATCCTAATATGCAAATAGAAATAAAAAGAATAATGCTTTCCTGTACTAAATAACAGCTACCAACATTGCAATTCACTTTCAGAAATCAGACAGGTTTATCATCATAACAGTTTGCTGCTATACATGCTGAACTTTGGGCTCAGTTTTTTCCCAAGAACTGAATATGGTGATGCTATTCCTAATACTGTTTATTTTTCTATTAACAACTTTTTGTTCATGTTTAATATAGGAAGCTGTTGTGTGCAACCACATTTTAAGAATATTTTTCTAACCATTTTCTGAGAGTAAAAAGAATATTTTTTTTTGGTAGAATTAATAATGTATATTTTACCCTAACAATTTTCACAGTGAAATGAAATGTGTAAAACTGTATTTCTGTCTGATATTACATAGTGTGTTGTGTTTTGCATGACACTTAATTGCACTGTATTCTTTACAACACAGAAATGCTATCAATTGTTTAAATAGAAAATATTATCTAGTTATTTTTGTAGGAAAGGAATTAGTGTATGCCAGTGAAACCAGTAACTTTGCAGTAAAATCAATGTCATTTTTTTCTAACACGTATTTGTATTACTCATAAATGCATCATTCATGATTGCTTAAAAGAACCCACAACTGTAATCATCTTTATCATAAGTTAACAAGAAAAAAACAGCGGAATCTCACATTCAGACCTTACTCTCCTTCTTTCAGAGCAATGTCTTAAGGTTGTAAGGAAAAAAACAAAATCACATAAAAATCTCACAAAACAGATGCCAGTCTTGAGAAAGTGGGTAGAAGCCTATATATTAAACAGGAAGCTGCTTAAAACCAGGCTGAGCTGAGCTGGGCTGAGCTTGATTGGGTTGGCAGAGATGCTCCTGGGACCCCATACTTTTAGCTGATTTTTTGCAGATGGATAATTTACAGAACCTTTTGCGTAGCCTAAGCTGTATAAAGTTTCCAGATCTGTACCACTGATAAAGAAATTGTGCTGATTTTGACTGTGATAGAGTTAATTTTGTTCACAGTAGCTACTACGGAGCTATGGTTTGTATTTGTGCTGCCAACGGGGTGACAGGACTTGAGGAAACATCATGAAGTTGAGTTTGGGGTGGTTTAGGTTAGATATCAGGAAAAGCTTTTTCATCCAGAGGGTGGTTGAGCACTGGAACAGGCTCCCCAGGGAAGTGGTCACAGGACTAAATCTACCTGAGTTCAAGAAGCATTTGGACAATATTTTCAGGCATGTGGTAGGATTCTTGGGGTGTCCTGTGCAGGGCCAGGACTTGGCCTCAATGATCCTGATGGGTCCCTTCCAACTCAGCATATTTTATGATTCTATTATAACATAAGGATATTTTTTTTTTGTTTCTGTGTAGTGCTTACATAGTGCCAAGGCCTTTTCTGCCTCTTACCAGTGAGGAGTCAGGAGGTGCACAAGAAGTTGGGAGGGGGCACAGTCAGGACAGCTGACCCCCAACCGACCAAAGGGATATCCCATAACATATGGCATGATGCATTTCAAGTTAGGGGAAGAAGGACAAAGCAGGGAATGTTCAAAGTGATGGTATTTGTCTTCCCCTGCCACTGTTACTTGTGATAGAGTCCTTCTTTCCTGAAGATGGCTGAACACCTGTCTGTCCATGAGAAGTGGTGAATTACTTCCTTGGTTTGCTTGCCTTGCGCATGTAGCTTTTGCTTTAGCTATCAAACTGTCTATACCTTAACCCACGAGTCTTCTCACTTTTCTGATTCTCTTCCCCACCCTACCCAGAGGGACGGAGTGAGTGGCTGTGTGGTGATTAGTTACTATCTGGGGTTAAACCATGACAGAAATGTATGTGTTTTTTAATATCTTGGGACTTCTTTGAAGCAAGGACAGGATTTTCAGTACTTTTAGGAAGTCTTTGTGATACTGAGATTTAAGTTGTTGTGTTTGCTCAAATTTGTGTATATGTAATAACTAAACTTGAGTGCACATACTTTTAACCGTTTTAGTCAAAGTGGATCAAGGTAAAGTTTGTACTAGTGTAAAGATAGCCACAGGCTTGTCTCTTTTTCCTAATACCAGGTAGGCTATGTCATTTTAATATTATGACATGGTAAAACAGAGAATTCACATACAAAGAAGTCATATTTCAGATCCCATTTAAGTTGTAAAAAGATGGATTTTCATTATCCATAAAAAATAGTAAAAGTTTAAAAAATTATCAACAATACCTAAACAGTATTAACTGAATTCACACAAGTTTGAGTGTAAGCAACAGTTTAATTATGCCTATGAGGAAATTTTTTAGTTTTATAAAGCTATATTTATTGTCATTAATCTTTTTTTCAAAGCAGAGAAGTACATTTCTCATGCAGTTCATTGTTATATGTATTGATAAGATATGGCAAATGAAGATGTTGCCTCATTTTCTACTTTTATGCCCCTACCACTGCAATTTTTAGATTTCTGATGGGAAACTCAGAGCATGGATTAACTGGAATGATAATTTAGCTCATGCTAAGGTAATATTTTCATCGTTTGAAATAAGTTTTTAGAAAGAGTTTATTTTCTGGAATAGATGCAGTAGAAAAAAACAAACAAACAAACAAACAAAACATTCTTGTAGAGAAAAATCCAAAGTAATTTTTTGCACAATAAAAAATTCTAAATTCCTATAAAATAATGTGATGAATTACTGCAGAAATAGCATTTAAAATGCTGATTCTTTGGATTGAAATGTTGTCATTTAAAAAGATCATAGTCTATTGTCAAATTTTTTTATCAATTTCTTTCTGCTTTGGGGACTTCAACTCTTCGAAATATGCAAAAGGCAACAATTTAAAAAGCTTTACCTTTATGTATGGAAGGTATGGAAACAAAGCATTTTAGTACTGCTAATAAGAATTATAGGGTTTTCAAAAAAGAAGAAAAAAACCACATAGGAACCCTCAAAAGGAAAAGATAGATTTCATGGGGCATCTGTTTAGCCTGCTCTAGTTAAAAACAGCATTCATCTGTAAAACATCAATCTGTCAGGCACATTACTAATATAATTTTTATGACAACATAACATATTGTGAAGATATGATCCTTTTCAATTTTCTTCAGCCCTATTCAGCAGACTGTCCTATTCACAGATCCTCTTTCAAATGACAATTTTTTGGTGAAAAACTAAAATCCCTACACCAGTAATTTAGGTTTACCAGTATCTTTGCTTTATATTTGCAATTACCATTCAAGAAAATAATCTCCCCCATAATTCTACAAAACTACTCAAATCCCAGTGTGGCCCAGATGTAGCATGCACTATAGGGGACTATATCAGCCTCGGAATTTCTGTGCTGCTGCTACCTGTAGAAATTTAGATTGCAGCATGCAGAACATAGTGGATTAATGAGAATATTTAAGCTACATATGTATATACATATGATTTAGTACAGGCAGGAAAAAGAAAATAATCTAAAATGCCTTTTATTTCACTAAAAATTTAATTGTATTTGCATGCATGCAGCCCACCACATTTATTCAATAATCTCAGTATTAATTAGAGCAAAGTCAACTTTTTTGCAGTATGTATATGTGCCCAGGTAACAAAAAATTTAGTTTACTATTTTTTTCCTACTAGGATTCCTGCTTCATGTCTCTATTATTTTCTTCAAATCACTCACTCACTTGATTCTTGGCACTCCTCTGTCTTTCCAGAATGTCTTCATATCTGAAAGTATAAAATTTTACCATGAAAAAAGATGCAAGAAACTTCCATTAATAGAAAGGCAGCCAAGCTTGCCTCTTCTGTGTTTCTACCAATAGTGGTAACTTACTTTGGTGCTTAAATCTGGTGAGGATCTTATGGTAACATCTACTCAGGAAACAACCGTACTGGTATCCTTGTCAACTTAGTTGCCTTAGTCAGCTTTCCATCTTGTCCTGCTCATGTAAACTTGGCAGCTCTAAGTGCCACAGCAGAATTCCATAACTTTATTGAAAATCTCCTTTTCCAGTGAGCCAAGCCTGCCTTTCCATGGCATAATGGAGCAGCATGAGCAGAAATCAAGCATTTGTGCCTTCAGATTGGGGTGTCTTAAACAGTTCTGCTCCGTCTCTTATTTTCTTCCACTTTCCTTTTGTAACACTGCAAAATGATGCTCATTGCTTAGTCAAAGGATTATTCCTCTCAAACTGAGTCTAGATTTCTTTCTCTGGTTTCACTAAGAATTTTGTCTTGTAAAAAAAACAGAGAGGGATTTTTTCTGTCTTGCCTTTGAGATACTCTGCCTATACTGTGAGTTCATTCATGGCAAAGAGTAATAATGCCGTTAAGAAGAACAAATAATTCTGCTCTAAAGTTTATTACATTCAGGTAGCATTATAGAAATAGCTCTTCTGAGGAAAAGTGGGGGGTAATGAATATTAAAGAAATTAAAATCATCAAAAAGAAAAATCTACATTTTAACTTCAGTTATCTCTCATTTTTACCTGGACTGTTAGCAGACTGAGAATCTCAATAATTTCTAGCATCTTTGCTCTTAATTTTCATTTTTCTCTCCTCTCCTCACAAACAATCAGAGCTGGTAGATTTACCTATTTCTATTTTAATGATTTTTAAAAAGCATCAAAGGAAAATTTGGAATAAAAAAAATCTGTTGTTTCATTGCTGTTGTAGGTTGACCTCACCAGCTGCCAGACGCCCAGCTGCTCTCCCACTCCCAATCTTCAACAGAGAGAGAAAATAAGATGAGAGAGGACTGAGATAAAAACAGGGAAAATTCTTATCAACTACCATCATGGACAAAACAGACTCAACCTGGTAATTTACCTCAAAAAGGTAATTTAATCTATTGCCAATTAAAATAAATTTGGATAGTGAGAAACAAAGATAAAAACTAAAAATATCTTCCCCCACCTTCCCTTCTTCCCATGCTCAACTTCACTACTTAATTTCTGATTCCTCTACCTCCTTCCCTGAATAAAAAAAAAAAGGCTAAGAAATAGAAAGCAAACAAGCATGCTGGTGGTTAATTATCCTAGTGGACTTTTATCGTTTGCATTGAGTCCGTGAATTAATTTGAATGTTATTCCTGTGAAATACTGCATTGTCAAGATTGCTTGTTTGGAAACCACACTTCCACAGGTATTTCTCAACTACATATGGTTCATATAGTTCCCAGTTCTGGCTTCAGTTCTTCTTCTTTCCCTTAGAATGCATGATAAAAAAAAAATAGTGATGTGCAGACATTATATAAGAATCACAGAATCATAGAATCAGCCAGGTTGGAAAGGACCTCTGAGATCATCAAGTCCAACCCTTGATCCACTACCACCATGGTTACTAGACCATGGCACTAAGTGCAACATCCAGTCTCATCTTAAAAACCTCCAGGAATGGAGAATCCACCACTTCCCTGGGCACTACACAGTCTAAAATCTAATAACTGAAAGTAGCTGCCATAGAAATTAAAGATCATGCAAAGTTTTATGTGAATTATTTTTGTCTTGGGATAAGTTTGCTTTGAAATCTTAGTTAAAAAATTTCAAAACATTTATTAGAAGCTTCTCATTTTCTTTTACAAGAGAATAATAGGGAAATATTGAATCAATTAAATCTTTATATACAAATATATTGATTTCACAAATATTGTCCAATAACCACTGTCTGATAGCAAAAAAATATTCTTTGTGAATTAAAAAAACCTATGTATTTAACATCAGAACTTGTCTGCTCAATATTGCAACTCATTAATTCAAGTTCTTCAGACTGGCAACTATACAAGTTCCTCAAATCTATTGGAGACTAATAAATTTGTCATGAAATATTCACATTGAGGAGTGATGTAAATGTATAACACACCACTTATTTTCTGAAAGAATTGATGGAAATTAGAAATAAGAGAGGTAAAAGAAAATACGCAGAAAATGTTTGTAGAATCTCAGTATTGAATTTGCCTAGTCATATTGATTGCTCAAACTAATAACTTATGCCAAATAACTTCACAGAAGTTGGATTCACAGTTTTCATGGTTTAAGAATGGTATTCTCCAATTTTGTGTTCCCACTGAAGCATTCCAAACCAAGCGCTGCTTGCTCACTGCCCCCCGCCTCCTCAGCCCTCCACCTAATCTTTCCCCTGTGGTGGGCTGGAGAGGACAATTGGAGGCACAAAAGTTAGAGATCACAGGTTGAGAAAAGAATGATTTATTTAAAACAGCAATGAGATAAGAAAATGAGAAACAACAATACTAATGACAGACTGTAGAAAAGAAATGTTATTGCTCACCCCACAGGCAATACCCTTGGCAATACCTGACCACTCTCTCCGTCATGCTACTCTGAACTGGAAATGAGTCCTTCACTTTCCCCTGGAAAATGATGTGAGGTGGTATAGAATAACCTCCCGGTCTTAGCCATGCCCCATCTTGGCTACTCCAAAACTTACGGCTGCCAAAACGAGAATGACAGTCTTCCTATATGTCTGTACTCATCCTATCTCAAAGAACTTCTACCTTTTTGGTGGAACAGTCAGGTGCATCATGATGTTAATAATAAAAATAATGAGAGTTAATATTGAAAGTAGATAAAGACATAAATAGGTAGCAAAAGTAGGAGAAGGGAGGGAAGTTATATTTCATTTCTACAGACATCTTATGTCTGTAAAGATGTAAAAAATTACAAAAATCAAGGCTACCATATATGGCTGAGACAGTTGGAATTGTGCAGCCTAGAGAAGAGAAGGACCTCTGGCAAGACCCTATAGCAGCCTTCCAGTACCTAGAGGGGGCTACAAAAGAGCTGCAGAGGGGTTTCTTACAACAGCATATAGTGGTAGGACAAGGGGAATTGGCTTTAAACTCAAAGATGGCAGTTTTAAATTACATACCAGCAAGAAATTCTTTACTGTGAAGGGGTTGAGGCACTGGAAGAGGTTGCCCAGAGAAGTTGCGGGTGCTCCAACACTGGAAGTGTTCAAAATCCAAAGGTTGGACAGAGCTTTGAGTAACCTACTCTAGTGAAAAATGTCTCTGCTCATGGTAGTGGGGTTGGAACAAGATGATCTTCCAGGTCCCTTCCAACCCAGGCCATTGTGTGATTCTGTGATTTTACTATTTCATTGCATTGTACATAGTTGAATTCTAAGAGAAGATGCAGAGGGAATGAAATAGAGAGCAAGAGGAGACCGTACATTCTGGAGTTCATATATAATATTTTTAAAGAGTTTAAGAACACAGAGTTGCCTAAATCCACAAGGAACAGCTCTTGGTGGCGGGGGGGGGGGAATAAATCTCACAACAAGTTTCAGTCAGCTCTGTGTGAGGAGAGACGCTACTGCATCCACATACAAAGCAAGACTCCTGTAATATATTTATCATATTTAATTTAAAATCTTAAAAATCTGTGAATGCTAAATAAGCTAGAGCAAAAAAAACTATGTCTGGAAGTTTTCCTAAGAGGCTGCATAGTACATGTACTTTACAGAAAAAAAAAAATAAAATTAAATATACTTAAATCATTCACATTAAAATGATAGAAAATAAATAACTGAAAAAATTTCTCTGTCCAATTTGTTCTCTTATAGCATTAAAAAAGATACCTTAAAATATGATAATTTAGCAAAAAATGGAGATTATAGCTTGAAAAGGTCATCACCTCTGTGTGTCCTGTCCATACAAAACAAGGCTACAGCAAACAGTATATTTTTTATTATATAGATAAATTTCCTAGAGAACTGATGCTGTTCTTGTTGTTACATGTCTATCAATTCACTGACATTCCAATACTGTTCTATAATACAGTGGAATCTTTTTTCTTCTCATTTTCATATGTTTTTCAGTATTTAGCAACAGATACTAAGAAGCGAATAATTTATGAATATCTCAGAAAAAAACCAAAAGCATAAGCCAACAATATATCTTTAAATTATAATACTTAATGAATAATACCATTTATGTTTTTATTTTCACTTCTTTTCAAAGGGGTGATTTATGTTTCTATTCGGCAAAATCTTCTCACTCCTGTGAGAATACGCTGTATTTACCCTTATTACTGGAAGATTTCTGGATGAATGAGGTCAAGATGTAGAGTTAATCGTTATCTTGATGAATAAGAATGGATACTGCTCTTAGTTGTGTATCTTATATAGAAGAAGAAGTAGAAACTTTTTTTAAGTTTTCAGGACTTCTGAAAGCAGAGGACAACTATTATTCCCTAACAAAGGAATAATTCAACTTTGAAAGTTACAATATTGTTACACATTTATTCATGGGAGAAATGCTAGCATGATCTAAGCAAGTTGCTCAAACATTGAAGGTCGTATGTCAAGAGATGGGCAGCATTGTTTATTATTGTAAACAACTAAGGTAAATTTTAATTTGGAAGTGTGGTTCTGTTGACAGGCATTCTACACTCTTGAACAATTATCTTGTTTGTATTTGTTAATAAGGTGTGAAAACTTAAAAGGTGGAACAATCACATGTGCATACTGTACTGAACATTTCATAATGTCCCTGTAAGCTGTGGAAAATGTAGCATTGATACCAGCAAGATATTTCATTCAGATATTAATACGATCTTGTACATGCCAAAGTGAGATTGTAGCTGGAGATACAGTGAACTATCTAGAAGTCATTTGGATAGTGACAGAAAGAATACCTTTCTGACTGTGTATCACTTATTCAATGTGCTCTGGTAGTCGATGAGAAAACTAACCTATCTGTATGAATT